CAGATCTGGCCCCCTGTGACTTTTTCTTGTTCCCTAAACTGAAGAGGCTCATGAAAGGACGGCGTTACGCTACGATTGACGAGATAAAGATGCCATCGAAGGAGGAGCTGAACAAGATAAAAAAAATTTGATTTTTTGAAGTGCTTCGAAGATTGGAAAAACCGTTGGCACAAGTGTATAATATCTCATGGGGATTATTTTGAAGGGGACAAAATAGATATTCATGAATAAATAAATAATTTTTGAAAAAAACAAAAAATTCGCGACATTTTTTGAACACACCTCGTTTATGTTCCGATCCCAATGCTGTACAAGTTACTGATTTCGTGTCTACTCAGATCCTAAAGTAGATTTTATAAATCATTTAAATTCTTCTGTTAATAAGATAAACGGCATTTTAGCTTCCATTAAACGTTGAGCTAAGGAGTTCAATGACCCCTACATGACTAAACTACTATTTACTTAACTTGTTAAGCCCATTTCGGAAGCAATTATAGTAGCTCACTCATAAATTGGATTCGGCATGTACGAAAGCAATTCTTACTATTTGCATTAAGAAATTTAAACTGGCAGGGGAATAAAAATCTTTCACGTTACAAAGGTCGTTTACGTCTTGTTAATGTGCATACGCGGCATAAACGCAGAAAGATGCTTGAAGTTCTAACCATACCCCATTCCCACTTAGCGAACTTAACTTTATCATACTCTTGAGATCATCTTTCATTGTGCTCATGGCAGAACATACTTTGAAATGCACAAACCTTTTGGATGTTGGTGCAACGATTTTAATACATTTTCTTTGGAATTCGTAGCAGCCGATGAGTCAATCTGCTGCTGTTTAGTGTAACAGGCAAGTGTAACCACGACCTTCTGAGTTCGGTTTCGGGTTCAGGGCAGTCCGAATTGTCACTGGTTTTCGTTCATCGGTCTGTTCGATTTTTCGGCTATCCTTCAGGTGCGCCCTGGGGTCGGTTGAGCGCGAGATGGGTCTGGTTATAAAAAAATACATTTGTATTTATGTAATACAGATTATTTTTGATTTTAAAGAAGTAAAATGCAATGTTTTCGAATAGGAGAGAATTATGCAGACTTATTTTCAAATCTTTGTCAAATCACAAAATTGTATCAACTTCGTCGTAAAACACATGGTTTTGCTGTTGTCGTAACTTGCTATGCTATAAACCTTGCAAGCAAAACTTTTACTTCGTTCCACTGAAGAGATTTCATCAACTTTTATGCTTAGAAGTTTCCAATTTTTATATTTTTGTTTTAGTTATATTCAAACCTTCATTCTTCCTCATATACATACATAAATATTATACTGCATATTATATATAAAGATTATTTAATGATACAGAATAAAATATTAATTGTTGTTATTGTTGTTGTATTGTATTGTTCCATGTTTTAACTCAATTATGAATTTAATCAAAATAATAAACCAAAACAAAATGATAAATTTACTTAACATAACAATAACTTGAAAAAATAACTTACATCAAATATATGAAATATATGCACATTAAATTAAATGCATTTCAACTTATTATGCATTAAAATGAATATTAAAATATATAAAAAAATAAAATTAAACACTACGAATATATAATAATTGACTATGAATTTAAATTGCGCAGAGTCAAAACCCACAAGTTGAATTGCGAGTTGATACTCCAATCCACCAACACCACCACCACCACCACAACCACCACCACCACCACCAACAACAACTACACGCTGTTGTATAACGCCGCGCACGCGCAAGCGCGCCCCTGTTGAAAGTGCTAGCTCGCTCACTGAAGCAGCAGCCGTCACTGCAACCGGCATGTGTCCTTCAGCGCCACACTCAGCCAAAGCGTAAAATTGTAAGTGGTGTTCGTTTCTTTGCTAAATATTAAAAAAAAAAATAATAATAATAATAATGTTTACTCTTTCATTTCCATTTGAATTTTCGATTAACTAAAAATTACAATTTCGATTATCGAATTATATAAATTCATTTCAAACTCCTCCTCCTCCTCTCTCTCTCTCTCTGTCTGTCTCTCTCTCTCACACATGCCAATAATGATTATATGCAATATTACTTACAACAAATAACTCCATTTTATATAATCCATTATTACTAATTTTTTAACACTTCCTCCTCCACTTAATAACACTCGTATGATGAGAACGTTGTGAAACGCTTTGTAAATGAAAACTCCCTTAACCCCTCCTGAATTTTAAATATACAATATATATATATATTTTTTTAATTCTACATTAAATACAAGTATACATAGTCGTTTAAGTAACAAAGTAAATACACGCTGCGCTCTAATCTTGCTCTCATCATTTATTTAATCTCAATGCATTGAGTTATTCGCCTAAAATATCCCTCTGGAAATTTTTACAATTGTAAATAAGCTCTTTGAACGACACAAATAAATATTTACACTAATTTATACAATGTTATATAAAAATTACTAACAAAATGTAGAAATAATGTTGATTATAAAAATATGAGAAATTGCTAAACTTGTGAGTTAAGGCCTCTGAAGAGCACAGATTTTCTTACTGTTAACTTCTGGTACTACTAGCTCTGTAAGTTCTTGAATTCCATTAAATGCGATGAGTTTTTCTCCTTCTGCACATATCATGAATTAGAAAATATTTGACTTGTTGGTAAGTACAAAATGCAGCCCAACGCAATGTCTATCCACCCGCTCGACTGTCTGTTAGTTGCTTAATCTATTACAGTAATTTTGCATTTTTTTCTCCAAAAACCATCTCCTACTTCAAGTTGTAATTGTAGGATGCCATTTACAATAAACCAAGTTTCTGGTTTATTTCACTTTGTATTCTAGCGACGTGCCGATTCTATTGAAGCCTATTCACCATTCCCAATAACTTCCAATGGTAGTGGGAAACATATGTATATTGAATTTGTTGCCACAATCGGACTGCTGTCTTATTCCTAAGAATCGTTCTTTGTGAAGACTATAGAAAAAATCACAAAATGTGGGATCTGTTTGTCAGGGATAAAAGCGAGAACCATGCATTGCATGGTGTCCAAGTAGCTCACAGTCCCACGTTTACGTCCTTACGCCCGCCATTTCGATAGCTAAAAAATGCACGACAGCACATCAAATCATGTGAAGGGTTTTCCAATAAAGGGGAGTTATTTTCATTAGCCTGCTATTCCGGTAGATGTCACTATTAAAGTTGTAAAACGTGAAACACCTTGTCGGAGCGCCATACAGAAATTGGTAAAAAAAAGTGGAGTTGCTGTGGAGAAAAAAACACTTGCACTTCACTTAAGAACAACTGAAAATATAACCAAGCCCAAAGTGTGGTAGAAACGCCAGGTTTGTCTATTTCTGGTTGAACGTCATTACATCGTATCTTGCATAAAGACTTGGGTCTTAAGGCCTATAAAGTTTAATTAACACAAAAACTCCAGATGACCTATCATCAACAGCGACGAATCTTTGACTGATTTGGTGCTTGAAAAATCCGGAGTTTCATCGGAAAATCATCTCGACTAATGAGGCCCATTAACACCTCTATGGTTACGCCAATAAGCCAAACCGTCGCATCTGGAGCTTGGAAAAGCCAAGATTTATTGTTGAAACGCCTGTCAATCCTCACCGTGCAACTCTATGGTGCGGTTTAGGGACCGACGTGCTCATCGCACCTTTTCTTCTTCGAAACTAAGACTGGAGCAAGAGTTACGGTGAATAACTTGTATTATCGAGAGATGATTAATGATTTGTTATAGCCGTAATTGGATGGTATTGATTTAGACAACTTTTATTTTCAACAAGACGGCGATATGTGCTACGCATACAATGCAAGCATCGATCTTTGAAGAGAAAAATTTCCGGGCCATGTTATCTGTCGAAGAAGTGATCGGAATTAGACACCAAAATCTTGTGATTTAGCACCTGGCGACTTCTTCCTATGGGTCGACGTGGAAGATAAGTTCTTTCGTGAAGCTATAGAGCGCATACCGGAGTCACTTTGCGATTAGAGGGTGGAAAGTCTTATAAAAAAATGATACGGTGCTGTACTAATGGCATATCTTCCTCATTATATTGAAAGAAACATCTGATCATTTAAATAAAAAGATGCCATTTTTCGTTAAATATCAAAATAACACCTCTTGTTGGAAAACCCTGCATAATCTCAGCGGTGAACTGCTTTGATATACTGTAACTGCTGAAAATATTTCCTTTAATAAAGAAATATCAAGAGAAGTCTATGTCAGATTATTTTTTCTGGATATTCGTGGTCCTATCATCTATAATCTCAAATATCCTGTAAAACATTTTTATTCTTCTCCATGTGACTTGGCCCCTGAGAATGATACATAGAATTCATTGGTTATGAATTTTTTTTTTTTGAAATCTTTTTGCCTTCCGATTGGAGAATATTACATATTAATAAAGATATGCTGCTCATGGAAAATTTTATATAGATCCATAACCTAAAATAACAAAACTAACAAAAAATAATTGATTTCCCTAACAGACAAAAAAAATTTTTTTTTTTTTTTTGAGTAGATTTAGTGCATGAAATCGGTTTGTAGTTGCAAAATATGTAAACGTAAATGTACTTGAAATTGATGTATAGATTTGCAATTTGTCTCGCTGTGTACCGTCCAATTCATCATGCATATGTACATACATATATAACATACATACATCCATAGTTGCATACCGTATTTCCTTACAGATCAAAATGACATTTTCCATTTTTTTTGCTTATAATTTTTGCCTTTGCTCAAATGTACATGTGGCAACCATGCCTTTGCAATGCTTTTGTAATATTCAAACATAATCTCATTAATACTCGTAGATGCATTTACATTTCCATATGTAGTTTACTCAATAAATAATAAACTCTTTCTTATGTATATAGATAGGTGTGTGTAATTTTTAAATTATTTGTACTTTATATATGCAACATTTAACGGTACATTTCCAAAATTTTTTTCCATTTCTTCACTAACTCACCAGAGTTTTTAATAAAGTTAAAAGTAGAAGCGCCCACATGAAAACGCATCGCGTACAGGAGCAACAGCAGCAACAACAACAGCAACAACAACAACAACAACAGCAGCAGCAGCAACAGCAACAACAAAAATTAGCTACTGAAACTGTGAACGCGTCGAACGGTGCAGTGACACCTGCGCCGGGACAAAAACTGCAAAAAAGTTGTAATCAAAATCAGCAGCAACAGCAACAACAACAACTATTACAACAATAACAAAGGGCAGTAGTGGAAAACCCGTGAATTTACATGTCCCAATCCTAACCCAGTTGTATAACCTTGAAAAGGTCGCAAAACATTTGTAGCAACAACAACAGCCTATGAGCCGACAACCCAATTATCCAAACCCAAATCGAAATGAAGAAAAAAAAAACTAAAATACTAAATGACCAAAATTGCAAATAGCTGTGGTAAACAAAACAAAAAAAAATAAAAATAAAAATAAAAATAAAACAAAAACAAAACACAAGTAAGCAAAAAGAAAAACTTTATATGTATTAGTAAATCTGCAAGTGTGAGAAAAACCATTGGAAATTTGAAATCGACAATCGAAGTGTTATTGCAACGTAACCTTAAAGTTAATTAATTAATATAAATTAAATAATAAATTATATTTCAAGTTATTATAAAAGAAAAGCAGTTGCTAAATGAACAGTGTATTATAACGGTATAAAATGTATACCTGCAACATTTAACATACATACAAATTAATTTTTGTATGCTTACAAAAATTGAACTTAATTTGAATGGAAACATAAACACTAACTAATATGAAGCAAAGAGAGAAAGAGAATTAACTAAAACTCGAAATACACGTATTCTTCTATACAGTTCTCGAAGCTTTTATTCGATGTGGTTATTCGTTACATACATATATATGTGTATGCGTGTATATATGTAGATTGTCATTCGATTTTATTGCGTTGAAAATGGAGGTTTTACTATAGATTTAAAATACAATTTATATCTACAATAATTACGAGCAAATTGTGTGAATAAATGTGCTAATTGTGAAGTTAGTCGTCATTAAGTTAGCGAAATACAAATGTATTCGCTGAAAGCATAGATCAATAATTTAGGAAACACACAGGAAGTAAGAGTGAATAAACATGTTTTTGAAATGAGAGAAAGAGCAGAGTTGGAAAGCAAAAGTGGGCATTTGAAAGTATTTCCTAAACAGCAAAACCAAACCGCCGATGAAATTAAATTAAAAAAAATATATACATATATATAAATATATAAATATATTATTGTATTAAAAAAACATATAAAATATGCAATAAATTAAATAAATTTTTTACTTACATTTTTCCCTCGCACACATACTACGCATACAACAATACAACAATTTCGAGAATTTCTCTATTCCGTTATTCCGTCTCACGCATGTTATTGAAAGTTTTTGCGCAATTCAATTGAAGTTTGGAAGGAGGAAAGAGAACAGTATTCGGCAATCTTACAATCATGAGTTGTTGTTTCGGTTCAAAATACTATAGATATATATATAATTCTCTGATTTTGATAATTGCCGGTATCAATTTTGTACGCATTGTATATTGTGTAAGTAGAATACCACATTTCGTGCTGAAGGGCATACGAATTCAGCTGGGTCTTCAGCTCTATCTCTTCAGGCTCTTACTTGAGCTGAGTTGTGTTAATGTCGCTGCTTTCAGAGAGTTCTACTTGGAAGACGCAGCAGTAGTCTGGTAGCCTAAAATTAAAATTGGTTGACAGCGTTGCTGAGTGAATTTCACAGTCTAACGTGGCTACGTCACGTTACTTTGATCCAGTTTCCAGAATTCTAGCGAAGAGTAGATTGCCAAAACAGACTCCGCTGGAAACTGTGCTCTAAACAGTGTTCAAGCGTCCTGTTGCGCGATAACTCCAAGGCTCAAAGGAGTTCAGTTTAACTGTGTTGTAGCTCGATTGAAATTTGCCATATAGATTCATTTGAAATAAATTAAGTAGAGTTTCCAGCGCTTTTGATAAAGTCAACAGTAGAGCTATCGTTATGGGACTAGCTGCCGATCACTGAACTCTGTTTAGTTTCTTCGTGAAAGTGGGTTATCCGAGTTCTAGCCATCAGGCAGTCAATTCGTATAATAAAATGGGTCTAACTACCGCTTTACAAACCTAATGAATAATAAACGGTTTTACACCTTATCCCTTATAAATGACCGCTTTGCATGCGTGTAGAGTACAGTAAAAGCATTCCCCGTCCTCTCCTCTTTATTTTGGCTCCAGTGCAGTTGACTATCTAAAATTATTCCCAGATATTTGACTTCAGTAGAGAGAGAGTTATTGCCATGCCTTTGAATTTGGATGGTTTAAAAGGAAGTAGTTAATATCTCTGTGAAAAAACTCATATCAGTTTTCACTACATTGACATCCATCCCACATACCTGGCACCAGCTTCTTGCTATGAGCAAAGCATTTTGAAGTAAATAATTTACGAATTCTCCCTTGTCGCTGTTAGAGCAATATCGTCGGCGTATGCCACCACGTCACAACCTATGCTAACTAGTTCTTATATACTTTGCAAAAATTATGTTCAGAAATTTTGAAGTAATTTTATTATGTAAGCCAATCCTTATTAAACGGTTAGTCAATGTGTATATGGTAGAATTCCATGTTATTCTGACGCGTGTCTTCTTAATTATTTTGTCTTAGAAATTCTTCGCCTGGTTAAAAAAACCAGAAGCAAAAATCTACAAATGGAGGTTCTTGTGTTTATACATTTTAGAACAATTCAATATCAGCAGTTTCGAAAATCTTCAATCCATATTTTAAATTCCTCTTAATCAATATATATTATATATCATATAGGCATCCTATTTTCCATGGACCACAATCATTATAAATCACATAATCTAAATCATTGACTCTTTGCGATTAATCATTGACTCTTTGTCCTGATCAAAGCGTAGCCCAAACCATTGATCGTAGCGACCATACGCTTGGAGGGTGTGCTCTGTATATGATGTATATTGTTTAACTTTCATTCATAATAGTCGAACCAAGCTTTTAGTGGCCGAATTTTTGTAATATCTGTGTGTATACCGAATGTGTGTATACTGAGCCATACCAAAAGCTTTTGTATTTTTACAAGCAGATTATTCAAAATGCGTATGGGTTGCACTTTTACACCAATTAGCTAGCAAGAATCCAAAAATCGTTCAAGTAAACATTTTTAATTACTTTCTTTCGAGCACATTGAAAAGGGTATACTTTCTTTTGAAAGAATTTATAACTTTTCCTCAGATTTTATGTGTCGTAAAAGCGACAGTATTAGTCGAGTGGTTAGCACTGCGTACCTTGCGGAGAGTCCCGTGTTTGACACCTATACAGACTAGCATCCATATATAATAATATTAGACAATCAGAAGCAACTTACAATAAACTGTAGAAGGCTGCACAAATTGGAGGAGTAGCACCAGCGATTATAAAGCTTCTGAGTTGAATGCACTGTCGTAGAAAACTCTCGAGCTAAACTCGAGCACACGCTGTGGGTGCTAAAAAACATAATTTTTAGTTTCGCTCCTTCTGGAATGGTGTATCGAACTAGTTTTGAGCCTATATTTTACGGCGAGATAATTAAATGAATTTAAGAATTTTTGTTAGACAATCGTCAAGTTATTTCCAAAGAAATTTGATTCAAAAAACAATCAACGACCATCTTACAGTAACTTAAACACTTTCCTATTGGTGTCTGTGAATTATGTATTAAATAACGAGACTCAGCTTCTACTCAATTAATGTGCCCTTTAGATGAAAAAAGAAGAATACACAATTGATCCATATCCCCAAAACATTTTAGGTTATTTATTATTAATTTCATGAAGACTCACGGTACCTTGATTTACTCTCGTTTTCTTTAAGAACAAATACTTTGTTAATGTACTGTTAGCGCTAAGCAAGGGACATTGACTTTTAATTTGAAAGGTTTTACGTGACAACTGTTAAATATGAATTAGAGATGCTCAACCAACGCAACGATGTCATTTCGATTTGTTAATATGAAAAATCATCTTACTAAAAAGTCTGTCTGCCTGGTATGCTTTAAGGACATCCTTAAATTTTAACGTTTAACATTATCTGTTAACGTTTATTATTATCTGTCAACGCTTAACATTATCAGTTAACGTTTAACATTACCTGTTAACGTTTAACATTATCTGTTCACGTTTAACATTATCTGTCAATGCTTAACATTATCTGTTAGCGCTTAACATTATCTGTTAACGTTTAACATTATCTGTTAACGTTTAACATTATCTGTCAACGCTTAACATTATCTGTCAATGCTTAACATTATCTGTTAACGTTTAACCATTAACGACAGCTTTTCGTGTTTCGGGTTAGAACCAAATAAAATTTGTTTTTATAACTGCCTTCACGATAAAATTTTCAAATGTTTCAACCAAATCGATTAAAATTTTTTCTATTTGCATAAAATTTATCATTACGATGCAGCCGTGGTATGATTTGTAATTAATTGTCAATCATCAAGACGTTTTATTTTAAATATCCTAATTTTAGAGCACGAAAGTCTTTTTGGAATTGCAAAAATATTAAATTCAATTGAATTTTTTTTTTATTTTAAGCTGTTTGGTGGTGTTTAAATAGCTTATTTAATGCAATACTAGTTTGATCATTCGAAACTTCAACGTAATGATTGCGCAAAAACAAACATAATATGCAAGCAAATTTTTATTTCGTTTATATATTTATATTATTGTGAGATTGTTATTTTACATATAATATTTGTAAATATAAGGAAATACTATTACTTACACATTTTGCTTTTCAAAAAATCTAGATAACATACATACTATGCATGGTGTATTCTTCCAACAGGCGATGCTACTGACTTCTTTTGAAAAACACAATTTAGCACTTACAAAATTTTCAAAATTCATAATAAAGTTTAAAAGTATTTGAAAGATATTTAAAAAATATTTAAAACATAATAATGATAATTAATTAAAAAAAACATATAAATAAAAAATATAAATACACACCTACATATATAATAGTTGTTATAGTTGTTTAGATTGTAAATCATAAATTGATATATCTGAAAGCATACACATATATATATATCTATATATGTGTATATATATATATTATTTATACACTTGTCTTTCACGCTCCACAAAATCAAACAAAAATTAAAAGTAAAACAAATTCTATATATATATATATATATTATATATAATATGTGCCATACATTAGATGCATACATATGTACATAAATAAATACGTTTGTTTATTTGTTTGTTCGCTAGTTTTAAACTATACATACATACATACATACTACTTACACAGACATACGTAAATGTATTAGAATCAATAAGAATTACATATTTACTTACTTACTAGGAATGTTCGAATTCAAAGTGAATATAAATAAAATCAAGTGATAATGAGTGAGATTAAACACGATTTTAGCCTGCACCCCTCCATTTTAGTTCTTAACTATTGTACAATAATAGATATAAAACTATAATATTTATAGCGTACATGCATGCATACATACATATGTACGTGTATTTAGGTATACTTTTCAAGGCAAAGATAAATTAATTTTCAAGTGTTTCTTAAACGTATGAAAGTAAAATATAAACTACAAATTGTCTATCGTACGTACGTGTATGTGTGCGCATAAATATGTTATCATATATTTTATTGTAGATGATTCTCTGTTCGCAGTTACATACATACATATATACATATTTAAATTATGTACTAGTATAAAAGTAGTTCAATTCAAGTTAGTTTACTCTACCAATTTTAGCACAAATGTATATAAAGAAAAGTAAAATAAAACAAAATTATAAAAAATGAAGGAAAAATTAAAAAATCTCCCGTTATCTCTTGCCTGACGCCGTTGTGTGACCATTCATGCTCCATAGATGCTCAACACAGTGTCAATAAATTCGTCTATTGAAAACTGTAAAAAAAAAAAAATATTTTAAATATTAATTAGTTTGTACAAATACATATACACAAATATATTAACTTCTTTCCAATAAGACACAAAAGACACTATTTTAAAAAATTAACTGAATTAATTGAATTAAATTTACGACTACCAATTGCATAAGAATTATACAAAGAAGTGTAAAAAGAGTAGTATAAATCCAACAGCAAATGTGCTCAGCGGTATTGAAAAATATTTCAATAATTTTGAAAATATCGCGCTTTAGTAATTACTATTTTTAGTTTGTTTTTTTTTCTTCTTTTTTTACTTTCAT